GGTGGGAGCCCGGGACCCCCCTCGGCCCCGCTCCCCAGCTCCGCCGGCCCCTAACGCCCCTCTCCCCGCGGGCAGCACGCCCGGACCTACATCATCCCCATCGAGGGGACCCCGCGCCCCGTGCGCCTGCGGCAGCAGTAAGTGGGGTGCAGCAGGCAGCGCGGCCCCCCGGCCCCTCTGCAGCCCCCGGGGCTGTGCAGGGTAACGGGCGGGAAGCGGGGAGGGCCACTGCCTCGTGCGGTGGCCACCACGCGTGGCCACGTGCCGACTGCACGGGCGTCACCTCTGTTTTGTGTGTAGAGTGTTTTTGCCGGAGGATTTCCGGATCTATACCGATGGCCGAGGGGGGCTTGCGAAAGCCGAACTGGCACATATCGAGGTAATAGTCCCGTCCCGTACGCTGTAGCCACCGTCTCTGAGAACAGAGCAGCTGTGGAAGTGCTCCAGCAGGAACGTGCAGAGGAGAGCCCCCTCTGCAGCAGTGCTCTGCACAGCCCAGCTCTCCCCCGCCACGGTGCCAGCAGGAACACCGGTGGCCAAGCCAGCGGCGCTCAAACGTCGACGTGGTCGGTAGCGCGTGGCTGGAGGAAGGCGGGCAGCCGCCAGCCAGGGGTTTTGCGGAGGGGCAGGGGTGTGGGCTCAGCCTGTAGCTGGTGCAGCGATGCAAGCAATCCCACGGTGGAGCCCGCCCTGCAGCGTGTGGGCTCGGGCTACCTGGGGGGCCACGGCTGCTGCCAGGCGAATGGCTGCGTCACCCAGCCAGCCCAGCATTTGGGAGGACAGCCAGACTGAGGGCACGCATCGGCTCCCCCCCCGCCGCAGCGAGGGCTGACACGGGAGCGTAACGGGTTGCCAAGGATGGCAGGGAGCTGAGGAAGGGACAAAGACCAAGCGGGGGTCAGTGCAGGTGTCCCTTCCCAGAGGAGGCCGCAGTGCCGTGCTCCTCCCCACACGCGTTGTGTGCCCGTCCTCTGCGGGGACGGGGACCGTGGCACAGGCGGTAGCAAGGTCTGGTGCCTCGCACACGGCAGCGCTCCCCAGGGCTTGGGAGAAGGCACCGAGCCGTTGATACGGCTTTACTCCTTCCAGCGCGACTGCTTCTACGAAGGCTACGTTGAGGGTTTCCCCGTTTCGCTCGTGGCACTTAGCACCTGCTCCGGCCTGAGGTAAAGCGGTTGCTTCTTTCACCTGGGGGACAGGCGTCAGCATGAGCGCCGGGCAGTGCCGGCGTCGTCCCAAGGTGGCGGAG